CCCCGGCCCTCCCCACGCCTTGCCGGATCAGAAAGAGGAGCCTCGCGTGTCCCCTGATGCCGGCTGCACCCCTCCGTGAGTGCCACCATCCCCGGCCACAGGGGCCACGGCTTCGCTACGCAGCCGCGGCACAAATCTTCATTGCAGAGGCCCCAGATATTTTAGAAGTTTATAGAAGAGACACATTTTAATAAAATTAAAAATAGCTTTTTTACCAATGACGACAATAGACCAATTCTTTCCCCCTCTCTGGGGGATGTTCCCCTTCTTACTTTCGAGATGAGCAGAAGGGGAACTCGGCTATTTACAGCCTCCGAGAAACTCCCAGGCTGCAGACCATGGGGCAGGTGTAATTTCTCTGCCCCTACCTGGTCCCCCATGGCTGGCAGTTGTGCCTGGGACCAGCAGAGCCCCAGCCTGGAGCACGTATTGCTGTGGTGTGGAGGGGAGCAGGGCTGCCACTGGAGCTGGGGAGAGCAGAGAGCCCAACTGGGACACGGGATGCGTCCTTCTGCAAGGGAACGGGCCAGGATGGGCGATGCTGGGCAGCACTGGGGATGGGGAGGCAGCGCATGCTGCGGCCGTGGTCCCTCGGTCACCAGGTCCTTGGGGGGTCCCTTCCCGTGGGCGAGCTGGGGGCTTGCAGCGTGCTGCGGTGAGCCCTGTCCTGCTCCCGGTGATCAGGACGTGGGTCACCAATCAGGTAGCAGTGGCTGCAGACCCGCCATGTCTCATCGTGCTTGGCAAAGCGGTCACTGGCTTTTGCCCAGACCTCCACCTCCAGGATGCCCATGTCCTCCATGGCGATGGGGTGGACCTGGCAGCAGCCTACAGGTTCTCCTGGCGACGTCCTGGGAGAGGATGTAGCTGATGCTGCGGGTGTAGAGTGGGCAGATGTCAAGAGTTTAGTCCTGCTGTGCCATGTGCCGCTTGCTGGAGGTTTGGCAGATGACCTGCTGCTTCTGCCAGGAGAAGAGGGACCCCAGATAGAGGCTGGTCTGTCCCATGTCAAGCCCATCCAGGACGGTGGGCAAGCAGTCCATGCTGAAGCAGTCGTCATCCATCTCGAGGATGTAGCAGGGCCGGCGCTGCTGAGATGCCGTGCATGACCTTCAGGGTGAGGTTGCAGGACATATCCCTGAAGCTCCCCAGTAAGTTGTCCTTGAACTCCTGCCCTTCTCGCTGCACACCCTGGCCCACCACTGCCTCAGATGCCTGCCTCACCAGGAGCACCATCTGCCAGGGGCTGGCCAGGGCACCCCACGTCCTCCAGATGACGAGCTGAGCCTTCACATGGCCCATCACGGACGTCACCAGGATGAGCAGCACACACCAGCCGCCTGGAGCACCCCACGTGTGGCCAAGCTGTGGAGAGGCGCCGGGAAGCGACACAGCCGAGGAGGGCAGGTGCTACAGCACCTGCGAACGGCAACGTCGCAGCCCAGCCAGCGTCTGGCGGGGGAGAAGCGTGGGCGAGCAGCGGTGGGACAGCCTGTTACCTCTCACGGCACCATCCCTCGCCCCACGCCAGATGGGTCGGAGAGCAGGGCCGTGCTGCGGAGGCACTCTGGCCCCGCGATGCGACGCAGCAGGCAGGGAGCGGGGGGCCCGGTGGGGACGGTGCTCCCATGGCTGCACACAAACCCTCCTCTGTGCTCCAGAGCGCGGGGCAGGGAGCGTCTGGCTGCC